AGGTCGAGTCAAAGTTTGTTCGGAAATTGTGTTCGTGGGTCGAGTTGTTCGTGACTCGAGGTACCACTGTGCTTAGATTAAGCACTACTATCGAGGATATAACCTCAATTGTGAAATTTGCACTTAAATACACAGACATTACTATAATATCGCGTCTGTATAATGTCGCACCCTGGAATCGAGCATAATGCAAATTGTCGGAGAACTTGTGTATAATATATTTTATATGCGGAATAATCCATTAAGGTGCTTATCGAATATTGAACTAAGTTTCCGCATAAAACCGTGCACCTCAATATTTACAAATTAATTCGCCATATCAAAATTTCGTTATATTTAATAAGGAAAAATTATTATGACCCAAGTAATCAGTACAAGTTTTGATCAGTCGGGAACTATTTTCAACTGTGTCATATTTTCGTAGCACAATTAATATGAAATAATCAATACCATTAACCGCTGAAAAATACTTAGACTTGTCACAGACTTTCTTCAGGCTGTCTGAAGCTTTTGAACAGCAAAATCTTCTAGTTAGGTGTCTCAACAGCAGATTCATCCGCATGTTCACTCTCAGATATCATGTCGGCATCATATGAAAATTTCTGTACATTTTCAATAATTTGGTGGTCAGTCATTTAACTTCCCGTCTGTAAATTGTAATCTGCATCTATGTAATCTTCGTAATTGGCTGTGTCCAGAACTTGTAGCAGCTACCGTAGAATAAACATTTCTTTAGCCTCACGTTTCACTTCTGTTCCTACTTTCTCTGTTACAGCTATTCCATTCCAAGATCATTAAGAGCAAGAGTCGAAATTTTCTTCCAGCTCTTTCATATGGCTGACTCTTTCACATACCATTATACGGCCACGATCTATCACATTCCTTTTAACATATATTTTTTCATTCTCCTCTGAAACTAATTTTATCAACTTTTTGATAAGATAACTCCTGCAATGCATTTTGACCGTACTACGATTTTCAAATCTAAAGATTGCGGGACTGTTGTGCGGTTCGGAGGTAAAAACTTTGCATTTTCGTCATATGTTCCGAGCAACTATCAGTTGAAAGGAGAATTTTTTGTTTCTTCATATACGAATCCAATTTTTTTGCCATTCGTTAAATATTGCTTGTCATTCAGGCACGTGTATTTGTAAGATTATTTCATAGTAGTGATCGAACACTTAGGACTTCGTGGATTTGTAGCCATGATAAATGGTATCAGTTTTTCTGTTCCAGAAGAGTGGTAACAAAACAGGGCAGTTAAACGATTTCTTCCTTACACCACATTGACCTTTGTTAACAATGCGTGTGCGATGTGGAATTAACTGATGGAATATACTAATCTCATCAGCATTTAAAATGTTATTGACATTCTACGATAATAATTGTAATTTCACCAGCACGTCGTTTGTTAGCTCAATCCCGCGGTACATTATTCTCTTCTTCACAAAATACTCTATTCCATATCGTTTTTGAATCCTACTGAGCCATTCAAAACTTCTTTAAAATTTAACGTTTCCAAAAATCTAATGCTTTCAGTGTATTATTGGACCGCATATAGGTATAGGAATATTTCTTGATCTAACATCTTGTAACCATTATAAAACAACTTTATCAATGTCATCGTACAAAGCATTTCGAATCTTCTTTCTTTGAAATCCTAACGCTCTCTCTTATCTTTCTTAAATCTTTTTAGGATTTTCTAAAATTGTAGACAGTATCCAATTCTCTCGCACATCGTTCTTCTTCCTCGTGTCTTTTATTCCCAAAAATAGCCAACTTTATTTTCAATGCGAACTCCTTTATTCTTCACTCTTTTTCGCCTATTTCAGTGGTCTTTATAATAGCAATTAATCCAGCCATTTTGTTACCTTCAATAAGACTAACTAAAAAAGCATAGTGTACAAAATAATTTGCAAAATGCGGTGAAAACACACTTACAGGAATTCACATGAACTCCGTTATCGTGGTACAGGACTTAACGTAAACACCTGTGACTGTCGCAAGACGGTCAGGTTAACACGAAAAACAAGGCATATAGAATGCACGAGACTCAACAGAGGGCCGAAGTCTAGGAGACGTGTTTCGACAACTGGGCTGTCACTTTCAGGATATGTGAGGAAGTT